AAACTTGATCTTACTCTAGGACCACAAACATAACGCATGTTAAGGAATAGTATGCGATGATTTAATTATCATAGTTTCTTTTTCTTCAATAATCAACCATTAAACAGACATGAATTTTTATATAGTATGTATTAAATGAAGAGTATGAACTTTAAAATATTTTCAGTATATCTTGTCCATTGTTATTTTTAATAATAAATCTAGTATAAAGTAAAAGAAAACGACCTTACAATGCATATGTATTGGTATAAAAATTATCAATTACGTTCATCGCAACCCAAACTATATCATGTACATGAATTATACTAGTAAACATAATTATAATAAAATAATACATTAAGAACATGTATTATAAACTGACAAACATGTGACTCTAGCTACATGTCTCAAAATACTGGCAATTTTGTATGTAGCAAAAGGATTGATTACAAAAATAATTTATTCCAAACCAATCACCATGACGAAATAATAATTAAAAGTAGCATGAGTTTCATGACGAAGCATAAAACAATACAGAGTTCATAGACCAAGCTACTACGACCTCTGCAAAAAAAGTAGCATGAGTTTCATGACGAAGCATAAAACAATACAGAGTTCATAGACCAAGCTACTACGACCTCTGCAAAAAAAAGTAGCATGAGTTTCATGACGAAGCATAAAACAATACCCACTACATACTAACAAATTTACAAAAGCAAATACACAGAGGTCATAGACCAAGCTACTACGACCTCTGCAAAAGTAGCATGAGTTTCTTGACGAAGCATAAAACAATACCTACTACATAATAACATATTTGCAAAAGTAAATACACAGAGGTCATAGACCAAGCTACTAGACCTCTGCAAAAACAATACACAGAGGGCATAAGTACAAGCAACCTCGCCCTCTGCAAAAATTAAAATATCGTCCACATTACCCAAACGGGCAAAGACAGGTAAATTGGTTCGTAATAAATAAGCATTGGGTTGCGATATAGGTAAGAGACATATCCTTTTTATACCGTTAACATTAAGCAAACAAGGTACACCTGCATAAATTAAAATACTAACAATTATAGCGATTAGGCTAACTTGCAAAATTATAAGCTCCAAACAAACCACCGTGACGAGATTTACGAAAGTAGCATGAGTTTCGTGACATAGCATAAAACAATGAACACTAAATAAAACACAATTGCAAAAGGAAATACAGAGGTCATAAGTACAAGCAACCAAGCTTTCTGCGCCAATTGAAATATCGTCCACCTTACCCAAACAAGTAAGGCAAATGGGTTTGTAGCCCAATAAATAATAGCATAGCCTTAAAACTTAAACTGTCTTGCTCTTTCATATGAGAGTGTTTAAATGTATGGAATCGTGAATAACATCGTATATAAGTGTGTAACTTTGCATTCTATCATGTATGGTATTATTATCGTTATGCAAAAAATTTTGTATTTGTAGTTAAATTTAAATGAACCATGTCTCCTACAGACACACAAGGCGTGTATACGTTCTGCAAACATTAGGATGCTATTTAGGATTCAGTAACTTGTAAAATTACAACATCGGGTCACACAACGTTGAACCAACGTTGAAAATATGTTGAAATATGGTTGTAGCGTTGATCAACGTAAAATCAACGTTGTATCAACGTCAATCCTATTATATCAACGTTTAAATCACGTTGTTGAATCAACGTTGATTTGTGGTTAAAAATATCAACGTTGAACTGTCAACGTTGAATCAACATTGAATTTAAATTAATGCTTTCAATGTTTTGATAGGTTGAAATTATAACGTTGATAAAAGGTTTATTTAAGGTTGATGACTTTAAGTGTGGACCGAAATTTCATTCCAGATGAGATTGAATCATTTTATATATATACAACTTTGCAGGAATTATTGGGAATAAATGTTAATAATTTGGAATTCACTAGAACATGGTATTGTTTTACATATTGATTTTCATTATTGATTTCTCTTTTTGTTGATTTTTTTTATTACTCTAGAAACCCCAAGTCAGGCCATAGATCTTCCGTGGCCTATTCCTGAAATATCCTCTCCAACAATGTTTTGACAAAGACAAATAAAATCCTTCCTGTTTGAATAATCGATGTTTTTTAATAAAATCAACGATTACTGTTGCATGTGTATATAAATCTTCAAATTTACACGATAAGAGCGAATGAATTAACTTACGCGAAAGAGATTTCTTTTTCAAATTTGCGCATGCGTATGAGGCCGACATTTCGAATTTATTTGCGCCAATATTTAGCTATGTCAGGAAAAAAATTAAAGTTCACTTTCCATATATTTTTTCTAAATATTCAATAATTTATGACCATCACCTGTCTCAAAACACTAAGCAATTCTATTGGTTGTCTCTTTAAACTATGCAATTCCCCTTTCCAAAAATATGACTACATAGGGATTTTCCATTCAAAGTGTTTTAGCCAAGAGAGGTAACTCTAACTTATTTTTTTTCCTATCATGAAAAAAATGACACTTTGCTTTTATAGTCTGTTTCTTCAAATTAGTTTCTGCAAAGGTTAAAGGAAAGTTATATTTTATTGATATTTATATGTAAATAATTGTTTTATATATTCACGAAATATTAAAACATGATTTTAAAAATCTTAATTATGTTTTAATAGTTGAAAAAAGGTAATCTAACTTTTATCACATGATTGAAACCTAACTGTCTTGTTTTTTTATGATATATATTATGTTATTATATATGCACCTTGTATATAAACATCACAAGTATATAAGCAAGTGTCGTTTCTTGCTGTATATATATCATATCTGCTTTTCATTTATTATTTTGTACATTAAATCAGGCTAGTTAGTTTTTTCATTTTAATTGTTTAACAATTATCAATTCATGGCCTTTTATCGCTTACTATGCAGTATAGGTTTTGCTCGGCATTGTTGAAGGCCGTATGGTGACCTACAGTTGTTAACTTTACGTCCTTTTGTCTCTGGTGGAGAGAGAGTTGTTTCAATCATGCCACATCTTCTTATTTTTATATAAATCTAAATCTGCTAAAATGCTCAATGTATATTTAAACCATGTGCTAGCACATGCAATTACGTACACTTGTCTTACTTAATACAAATAACGAACAGTGTTTGCCACGTACTGAATTGCGCAGTGACCACCTCAAACTTTATATTGAAATATGGAATACTTATATAATTTAAGCTTATCATGAAATCAAATTATATTTTTGAATTGTGTATGGTATGATTATAATAAGAAATTATTCTGAACACATGTGAGTTTAGGTGTTGCAGTTGAACAGAATATGGCGGTAAGTATTTAAAAATTTGAAACATGAAGGATTTATGGATACCTTGAATAAAAATTATATTATTAAAAAATTATATCATAAATATAAATAACACTCCAATGTCTTTTTCGGTTCAATTGTGATCTTTGGTTTCTGTCCAATTACCTATTTAAGAGTTCTGTCCTTTATTACTGTTTTATTAAAATGGTTTGTTATTCAAAAATAAGAAATGCGTGAAATTTATCGATGGATGCAGAAGTACAAGGTTGGTTTTTTAAACGACATTGACTATCCATGTATAACTGATTGAGGATGGTTTTTAGGGATCTTTACCCATGAGGAGGTGGGGATTTTTTAACAACCTTGACTACACATAAGGGTCTTGCATGGTCGGAACAACGATAAGAAACGACGACGAGGATTGTTTAGAACATCCTTTGACTGTACCCATGACAGCCTTGCACGATGCATTTCATCAACACGAGTGGTTTATATCGACAATGATTATCAATGAGGGCCTTGCACAGTCGTAAATTAAAACTGGTGTCAATCAAGAACTATATATAAAAATATCAAATGTTCTAAATTTTGGTAAACAAAAAATCAAAACATTTCAAAATAGACAATAAATAACTGTATGTTGATAACTATTTTATATAACTAAAATTATAAATACTACTATTTATTAATTGTTATATAATTTATTATGATTAAACATCAAATTAAATAATTATTAGGAAATTGAAATAACGAGCTTGTTCAAGGGAGACAACAACCACAGTCCTGGTTCATTCTTGTATAGATTTCATTCACAATAAATCTATTCATTCATTAATCTATCATCAGTAACTATTATTTTTGTCATTCTAACAATTTATTTTTTACATACACATGTATAATTACCCCCCCCCTTTTAATGTGGATAATTGAACAGCTTGTACTTATGATGAATAAATAAACACTATCATTATTCAAAACAGTTGTTGATTCTGTAGTATTTCTAATGAATTTCACTGAATACAAATATGTGCTAATGGTGTTTTTACCCCATACTACACATTAGAACGGACAGGGTCACCCTCATCCCCCCAACCCCTTAAAAAAAACAATTTACATATTCTCATATGCTTTCATCCAAAAAATAATTGTATTTTGTATCAACTGACAACAGCAATAAGGTGGGTTTTTTTCACATCAAATTTATATCAGCAATAAAAGCAACGCATAACCAAAAAAATAATAGACTATAATGTCAAGGGAGATAACTATCGACATGCTTTTTAAAAAGATTCATTTGGAGATAATTAGACATTTTATTTAAAAAAAAATTATATGAAATGTCTTTAATCATCAACTTGTATATGACTTTAAAAGATTTTTGAAGGTATCGACGTTAAACAAAATAATTTGCCTATATTATTCAACAACGTCACCGTTGATTCATTTCAACAAAAAGTAAAGCTTAATAGTAACACTTTTACACTTTTGTTTGTTACAAAACATATTTAAATCGTTTATATTATGCTTAAAGATTGTTATCAATGTGGTATTTTGATAAATAATCACTTGCCTACTTCAATTTTGTTATCGGTCAAAATATCCCCTGTTGAAAGTAAAACACGTGGTTTCAAAAGTGGTTCAAGGCCAAATTTGTTATAGAGTTATCGTTCTTGAAGAACTCTTTTGTGTACCTCCTTTTGTCTCCTGACGATGCTACAATATTATTACCACAACAAGTTAACAGTTGCTCGAAGCAGTGCAAAGTAAGTATAATTTTCATTCATTGTTTGCTTTAATAATAGTTATATGATAATTTAATGTAAACAGTATTGTAGCTGTAATTATTCGCTGTCCCCGCAAGTATGGCAAATAGTTATAACCCCTTTTTTGAAGTTCACCTATGTAGATCTATGTAATCTCAAACTCGATATTTTATATGTTGTAATTAAAAGTCAAATATTTACAACGCATGGCATTCTTGACCTTGAAATACATTTAAAACAAACAAATTATTTTCTCTGCATCAGAATAGATGTCACTCACAGCATGTATTCCGAAAATTTACTAATCATGTGAAGCAATACGGCGGATAAGAAACACGTGTGACCATAACAAATTAATACACACTCTGACCAATTTCAAAGTGGTTTATTTGATACTGAGTTATGATCAGTTATGATAAAGTCGAAATAGATGCTTGTTCAATTGACCGTACTGAATTATTGCAGCTAAAAAAATTCAAGGAAATAGACAATACTCCTTTAGTTTTATGTCTAAACATAAATTAACCCATATGCATGTATACGTAAAATTAAAAAAAAAGACGTATCATGTCGGAAAGACTTGAATTTATTGCAGTTTGAAGAAGAATGTAAACTAAGGGTCAAAGTTGAACTACTGCTTGAGTATAGCAAACATGCTGAAAATATTAATTGATGAAATATTTAAATATAATATGAGGAAGGTGCTACCTTGAATGCCAGCTTACCAAAACTATGTCCTACATATTGATTGATTGTTGGTTTGCTTAAGGTGGCTGGGGCGTCTTAATTAAAATTGGTAGAATTTTTTAATAATTTGTCCAAATGAAGTTTTTATCATGCTTTTTTCAAAAATATAATAAAAAGTATGGGTCACCGGACTTTTTTTCACGCTACAGCAGTACAGGTTGTGCAAAATTCTCAGATTTTGTATAGATTATGCATGGAAAATCAAATTTTGTGTGATAAAAAGAAAACTATCTGATAGAATTTAAAGATATAATGTGAGAAGATAGCTCTTATAACATGCTTTCAGATAAGAAAAAGAAAAAATGGGGTCACCGAACTTGTTTTCTTGCTACAGATTAAAATAGGTAAATTCCCAACACTTTCTATTATAAAAATTACTTTATCTGAGTTATCTCCCCTTATTTGGCAAAGTTGAAACAAAATTTATCAAACACAAATGAGATGTTTTTAAGAAATAACAGCTATAATTATGATAAAACACACAATTTTCTATATTTACATTAAAATTCTTACACATAAATTACATACTACTCTCAAAATTTGCACATTCTATCGAAGATCTAGACCAACGTTATCTGCTACTTCAAAATCCAAGATGGAGGAAGACTCCCGAGCCACCTTAACGCCCAGTGGCAAATATTTCATGCATGTTCTATATATAGTTTTTGTCTAAAATATAAGAATAAGTTTAGATGGAAAATGTTTAGGGAAAGATCATTGAACTTCAAAAGGCAGAAGGGGGTATGGTATTTCTTTTTTGCTTTGGTGCGTCGCAGGAAGGCGTCAAAGCAAAAATTTAAAATAGCCTTCCTGGATGTCATAATTATTTGGACTAGTATTTTTCTTTAAAAATTGATGACAAAAAATACTCTGTTCAAGCAGAGGACAAAAAAAATATTCTGAATGCAGATTTTCCCCATCCTTTATAATTATAGTGTTATATTTTGACTAAATAATTTTGATTAATAGCATTGAAGTGCTTCACGTGTAAAAAATCTGACTCAAACAAAAAACCATACTCCCCCCTTTGAAGCTAAATTTTTGCTCCCTTATTGTTTACTGCTGAAAATGAATTTATTGGTGATTTATATAAATGACAATGCTTACAATCATTAACTTGTGCATTTTCATATCCATTTTTCTTTCTTTGCAAATTTTACAAAATTTAAAACAATAAGACATTTGTTTAATTTCAAAACTATGAATACTGTTATACAATCCATAACTTCATTAAATTAATTTTTTGTTGATTTTCATGAAAAGGTGGAGGATTTGGAATATCTTTTTCATCAATATCTAAAAGTTGTAGCTGTTTTTTTTATTTAGTGTTGCAAACAACGCTTTCTGTTTGTTGAATTATTTTTACTTTCTAAATTAGCTGTTTGTTCATATTGTATTCCCAGTTTCCTGCATCTCATATATATGTGATCAGCAAGAGGATCATTCTGGTTGTTAAAAGAAGAGTTTGAATTTACAGTGAGCCTGTTTAGAATAATGTTTTGATCAGGTTTTTCATTTTCATCTAAGCATATAAGGAACCATAAATAGGATTGTTAAGTTGATAATCTAAAGATTTTCCTATTTTCTAGGATGTTATTTAAAATTTGAGGGGAGAACACTGCTCAGCAGTATAAATATATTCCTGATCATCTTCTTTTTGTGGGTTTATTTCTACATCAATTTCATGTACTAATTCAGAGTCGGTTTTATGTCATTTCTTGCATAATTTGTTTTATTAGCTTACTTTTCAAGTTTTTATACGACGGCAAAATAAAATTGAGAATTGAAATGGGGAATATGTCAAAAATTTGCTTTCGAGTAATGCTATCATGTCGCTGTTGCTGTTCGAAGACACGTTTGGTTTCCGGACAATAACTTTAGTTTCAGTAAATGGATCTCTATGACAATGTATGAAATTGTACCAGAAGGTTCAATACACAAAAGGAAGGTTAGAATTGATTTTGGGGTTTATGGTACCAACAGTTTAGGAGTCAGTGGTCAAAAACAACATTTTTGGTTTTTTTTCCATAATTTTTGGGTTTTTTCTCCAAAAATTTACCATTTTTAAATTGATTATTTCTCATTTATATATAAATGCAACAAATACTGATATGGCAGGTGATACACACGAAACAGTGTGTGTAAATTATTTTATCGGTAATTTGTGCATTTTTCCTTTGATGTGTACTCCTTGTCCTAGATAATGTCGACGTCATTATCAGTGGACTGGTCATGATAAAGAAAATATATTGGGTTAGTTCGCAATTGACATGCACAAGTGCACCGCAAAAGGATCTTCTTTCCCTTTAATTCAAAAAATTGCACATGATTTTTTTCGCAGAAATGCACACGTTATTTCATGAATGAAACACTTGTCATTGTTTGAAACTTTCAGTAATCAGCTGGTAATAAAACGTTAGTTTAGCCTTTTTGAACGATTCACTGATTGTGTGAAAATTTGAACAGAAAATGTACGATAAACCTGATAAAATTGCGGTATTATTGATAGCTTTCCTTACTATTCACAAGGACATATCACTTACATATCTTCCATGCTATTCCGATTTGAGTTTTTATTCCTACATAGTCTGGCATGGCTGGCACGTGCTGTTCCAAGTTGTCTTCTTTTTCTGCATGTTTCTTGAGAAGTATTTGTTTGACCTGGTCAGTCACTATAAAGTGTTACAATTCATATTTTGACGCAACACATAAATAGTGACCAAAAAGGTACCGCTTTCACATGCATGACATGAGAGAATCTAGAAAAAAAATTAAATGTACACATTTTCAACATTTTTGTGGGACTATCATATGAAATTAAGGAGATATGTAGTTGGAGACTGCTGCTGAATAGAAATGTTTGGGCTCACCTGATCCCTGTTTTCAAATTAGTCCATATTAAAGTTTGAAGGGTCCAAAATTAAAATATGTTTGATTTCAACTGACATAAAATTTTTGGTGTTTTTTATATGCTAAATCTACATCTGTGGTTGTATCAGGCTGTGCTTGGCGAAGCATTTTATTGCTGTTTTGTTTGTACTTTATTTTATTTTGCTCATGAAAAATTAACATGTAGTTGTGAAGTTGCTAACATTTTTAAAAGATGATAATTAGATAACTTCGCATGGTGACGACACTGATGTTTTCGTAGATTTACTTTTTCCCAGGAATGCTTCATCTGTTGATACATGTATATTCTCACTGGGAACGATTTGTGTATATTTAAATATATTATATGTTGAAAGATGTGTATAATGTCAAATCATAACAATACAAATTGTTTTGTCTCAAAAAAAACTTGTAAGATTTCTGCAGTTATTTTTGTTGAATACATACATACACATAGAGTGAAAATTGGGTACTTGGTGCAATTTGGGTACTGTGACGTTATAGCCATAATTGTTTATTGCTTTAATAGGTTGAAATGTGCACCTGATAAAAGTATTAGGTAGAGTGAAAATGTTTTGATCAGGTTTAAACTGACGCATAAAATATACAGGTGACTGCGGGAGGCAAATATTTATATTGCCTCCAAATAATGTGTCTGCAGCTTGAATTTCAAAGGTTGTATGAAGCCCACATACTTCCAAGTAACATGCTCTATACCTATCAAAAGTCATGGTATTATCATGGGTTATCATAACTCCATTGTAATTCCCATAAAATCCAATTTTGGACAATATGGGAGCATACAAATTATACCTAAATGTATCACTCAGACTCAAGTCTCCTTTTACTATGATTAAACTTAGAGAGTGAAAAAAAAACAGTCTCCATCTTCTGGGACTGTTCAAGGTAGATAGGTGTCATAATTAATGACAAGATTTGTTGAGAGTTTGTCAAAGGAAGTACAGTGACACACTGACAGTCTACAAAATTAGAAGATTGTGAATTTGAATATATATTTTTTTTTTAACTTTTGTTAAGTTTTGAATTTCACCTGCGTTTGTCTGTTAGCTAGGAATAACAGTGACCACATGCCACAGTATAGACAACTTCATTATCACTGTAACTTGATATGGATTATGGGAAATTCTGTAGCAGATTTTACTACCTTCACGGCTACGTTTCTCCCAAAATTTATTGCTTGCAGAGGGTTTTTCTGTGTTCCCATGGCTGGACGGAACTTTTAAACTACAAATGTTATCATTAATTATGATATTGTGACTTTTAAATGAAGTACCTGTGGTAATTTAGGAGATTTGTCACTGATAGTGGAAAAATGAAGCAGACGATGAAACATGTTACATGGCGTAAGATGTTGTTGTCCAAACTTCGGTTATTTCCGTGGTACAATAAAATTTAAATAAACTGCACAAGTTACTAAAATTTCTAAATTCTTGTTTTTGTAAACAAATAAAAATTCATGTCGTATTTAACATCGAATTTATTCCGTTTTGTCCCGTTTTTTTAAGATCGCGATTAAACGAGAATCTGGCAGCCATTAAAAATATAAGGGTTAAACTAATGTCCTGAAATTGTCCTTACGGATATTCCAATGATAATTTCGTTTTCATTATTTGAAGAATTGACCTTATATTTGGAACCAAGCAAGAATACAATGTTTATTTAATAAATATAATGAAAAAAAAGAAAACAAATATTTTTAAGAGTTAGATAACTTGACTTGATCTACTTCGAAGATTTAAAAAAAAAAATCGTACGAGATTTAACGAGAGTGACGAAACTTTTTGGATTGCTCATGTAGAGAGAGTTATCGTTCTTTATTCCAATTCGATGCTTCTACCATAAGTGCCAGCTAAAGCTGGCATATAATGAAATATATCAATAAAATAATTTATACATGAATAATATTTATTTTGAATTATATGACAGTAAATAAACTCATCATAGATACCAGGATTGAAATTCTATAATTGCGCCAGACGCGCGTTTCGTCTACACAAGACTCATCAGTTACGCTCGAATAAAAAAATGTTAAAAAGGTCAAATAAAGTACGAAGTTGAAGAGCATTGAGGACCAAAAATTCCAAATACAGCTAAAGCATCTTAAGGTGACCACCCAAAGCTTTATCTGCCGAAACGCGTTGTTTTATGGGTTTAATACTAACAACATAGGCGGGTCCCCCATTTGTGGGAAAATTTGGTTGATTATAGAGGGAATCACTAAAGCATGACTGGAGCGGGCCCCTGTTAGCATGGTTAGGGCAGTCAGTGGGCCAACCCTTATGAAAATTTCAAGATCTGCCACTGAACAATATGAGTTGCTGTAAAGATCTCGGTGCTTGTGGGGCATTATTGTATCTCAAGATGAGAAACTGTCAAGATCTTGGTGCTTGTGAGGCCTTATTGTATCTCAAGATGAGTGACTGTCAAGATCTCGGTGCTTGCGTTGCAATACTGTATCTCAAGATGAGTGACTGTCAAGATCTCTGTGCTTGTGGGGCATTATTGTATCTCAAGATGAGTGACTGTCAAGATCTCGGTGCTTGTGGGGCATTATTGTATCTCAAGATGAGTGACTGTCAAGATCTCGGTGCTTGTGGGGCATTATTGTATCTCAAGATGAGTGACTGTCAAGATCTTGGTGCTTGCGGTGCAATATTGTATCTCAAGATGAGTGACTGTCATGATCTCGATGCTTGTGGTGCAATATTGTATCTTAAGATGTGTGACTGTCAAGATATCGGTGCTTGCGGTTCAATATTGTATCTTAAGATGAGTGACTGTCAAGATCTCGGTGCTTGTGGTGCATTATTGTTTCTCAAGATAAGTGACTGTCAAGATCTCGGTGCTTGTGGTGTATTATTGTCTTTCAAGATGAGTGACTGTCAAGATAAAATAAATTGAAATGCCATGCATTAGCTTATTGTGAGATCTTCAAACTATGATTTAGGATTAAGATTAATTCTAAAGCCCTTGGTCCCAGAGGCGAACCTTTTGGGGGAAAAATTGGTTGACTGTATAAGAAATCACTGAAGCATGACTAGAGTATGCCCCCTCTTATGCACTCAGTGGACCCCCTTATAAAAATTTCAGGATCCCCCACTGATTCCAGAACCTTGTTGGATTCTGCAGAACAAATTTCCCTTAATGCTACAATAAAAATAATCTAACTTATAGATTTTCAACCAAATTGTGAAAGGTTTTGGAAGTCCAAAGTTTCACACATATGAAACTTTATTTTTCTATTTCAATTTTAGAAGGAGTTGTGACAATTTGGAAATGCTGCACTTAAAAGTGTCTTTTTTGTAGATGTCTTCACCAATAAACCCATGTCTGAAAAATACATGACGGGTAAAAAAAATAAACATGCCTTTGGTGGTTCAAGCTTTTTTGAAATAATAAGAGGTGAGTATTGAATATATATATCATTGTTTTCCACATTAAAAATTGTGTGAGATTTTGTCACAATTTCTTTTAAATGTGCTCTAGCATCATTGTCTACTAAAATCTATAGGTTTTTTGTATTAAATTTTTTTTTTATTATACATGTTATATATGAACTCAAGTTTAAAAAAGGCACATGGTTGCTCTCAATAAATATTTTTAAAAATAACAATATCATTGTACAGAGATTATTTGTTCACATATTACAGTAGTGTTCTTTATTTGAGCTGCAAAAAAAATATTAACCTAGTTATGATAAAGATAGTATAATATGTTTTTTTTCTGTTGCAGATGCTATAGCTACAAGTCACAAATGTGCAACATGGACAACAATATGGAACTAGTGTGCAATATACCTAAAATACGCCCTGAAATATCGGGAATGTGTCTAGCAAAAGGTCTAACATTTTAAATAAAATTAAGTATTCAGTTTGTGTTTGTTTGAAATTGTAAGATGCATATGTGAGCAACATGTTATGTAATTACTGTTTTATGTCACAAACATATTTTGTGTATGAACACACATCATCCTGTCTAATATGAAAAATGAAAGTAAATGTATGCCAACTGACACTACAATAAAGTTTAAGATTATCTATGCCTGGTAAGGTTAATAAGTTGTGCCTGTTCTTCTTGTCAAATCTTGTATCATAAACACCAGATTCAGAAGTGAGTGGTCTCATTACCAGTATAAAAATTACCAAAACAAAGGGAATGATTTATTTTCCACTTAATCATAAAATTTAGCGAAATACAAAAAGGAAAATATTGGAACAGGCAGAAATCTCCTGAACAATGAACTCTGCAACAGACTACATGTACACCAACCACCGACATATGACTACTACAACTTAGTACATATAGTTTTGTGAAATGTTATTACACATAAAATGGCACTGATGGATATAATAAGTGGTAATGATTTCAGCTGTTGACAACCCTCAATTTAACCAATGTTCAAAATCATATTCTCAACATTGACCACATTTCGAGATTCAACTTGCATTAACGTTTAGCCTAAAACAGTCTACCTGGGTCCAAATCCTACCTATTTTCAACATACACTGACCACTGTTCAACCAACATTCGACAGGTTTTCAGCGTACACTGACCACAGTTCAACCAACATTCGACCTGATTTCAACATACACTGACCACAGTTCAACCAACATTCGACATGTTTTCAGCATACGCTGACCATAGTTCAACCAGCATTCGACCTAATTTCAACATACACTGACCACAGTTCAACCAGCATTCGACCTGATTTCAACATTACTGACCACAATTCAACCAGCATTCGACCTAATTTCAACATACACTAACCACAGTTCAACCATCATTCGACTTGTTTTCAACTTGCATTGACCAAATTTAGACCAAAATTCAACCTATTTTCAACGTTGGAAGCTGACGTTGAATCAACGTTATGTTTTCAACGTCATATCAATTTTCAATCCAACCCTTCTTTTCAACATTGATTCAACGTTGAAATCGGACGTTTATTCAATGTTGAATCAACGTTGTTGTGCCTGCTGGGCAGCTATCATTTTTTATAAGAATGGTAAATAATTACATTTTGATCGCAAACGCACAGTGTCGCCACCAACACCAAAATTAATTTGACCCACTATCTCTTTGACAAAAAAATGAATTTGACCAATTAACTGCTACATGTTTTGCATAAATCAAAATCGTGAGATCTATCCGAATGGATGAATGGTAAAAAAATTAACTGTACGTTTGTTCATAATGTAAGCATAAATTAGCTAACAAATAAAACATGTAAAAGTATAGTTCGAATTTACCTCAAATTGCTAAAAGGAAATCACTCCAGTCCAAAATTATCCATAAAATTAAAATTTTTAACAAATTGTTTGATAAGAATCAAAAGTAAACACATCAAATGCTGATTATAAAAGGAAGTGAACACAACGCACTTACACGTGAACTCGTGCTGACCCCGCACGATCATTGACCAATAAGAAAGATGTAATCCAAGCATGCACTGGTTATAAGTGAAATTTCTCTGCACGTGAAAACATGTTATCTAATTTCAACAATTTATCGTTTGATTAAGTAGGACACTCTGACCCTTTGACCAGACAAGAGACATCATAAATTTACAGTATAAATAGCTCACTCTTTATCTAAGTCTTAGTAATAAACAATTAAAACAGAATTATCTTCTCTGCTGTCTTAAATTATTTTATTCAGCTTAATTTTCAATTAGCAAATAAAATTGGTTATATATATTTATAGAATACTCTAAGAAACATTCTAGTAAAGTTTGGTCACATTTGGCCCAGTAGTGGGAGTGTACATCGAATGATGGACGACAGACGCCTAATGATGGTAAATGCTCACCTGGTCTACAAAGTGAGCTAAAAAGCATGAAAAGACATAAATCAATTACTGACAATGTACCCAACATCAGACACTCATATATATTTGTGACTGGGTTTAACTAGTTGTTTGAGATCTCAACTAAGTGAGTTATGGCCATGTTGTCTTACTTCTTTTTCTTATTTCGCTGATCTATTTTTCTTTTGAAGGTTCTCTTCGATATTTTTATACAAAAATGCAGAAATTCATCTTTAAGTGGACATAACTCGTATTAGGAGTTGGATGGTAATAATGACTGATTTTTAGATCTTTTAGCGCTGAACATTTTGCTATTAAACTGTGTTTTTTTTTCTAGCTATTATAGTTTGTGCAAAAACTGCAAAATTCATCTTTCAAGGACAATAACTTCTTTCAGGGGTCAATTGACGATTTAAACCATGTTGACTTATTTGTAAATGATATTTTCAAAAACATTACCATACATTGTTGCTCTCTTAATAATAATCTTTCTTTCTGCCAAAACAATCATTAAATGGGTAAACATGATAATACAAGGGCATTTACTCCTATAAGTAATCTGCTTACAATTTCTGCTTTGTTGACTAATTTGTAGATATTATTGTACTTAACATCTTTGTTATTTATAATGTCTCACTCTATCTATAATGATTCTGGAGAATGGATAATAAACATACTTAAAGGGCAATAACCCCTATAAGGGATTAATTAACGATTTTGGTTAAGTTGATTTAATTGTAGATCTTATTTTTAAAGTGTTTGATGTTTATACTTTCTCTCTATCTATTGTTGATTGTTTCTGCAAAAAAAACAACCAACAAAACAAAAAAACAAAATGATTAGAATTAGACTTTCAAGGGCAATAACTTCTATAGGGGTCAGTTGACCACATTGATCTCATGCATATGTATGTTAAACCACAAGTAGCAGTAATTGATGGTAATAAATCAAGTTTGTTCCTGCAGATGCCTGGCTTCATTGCATATTGTAATAGTACTTTATCTATCATATATATATATATGTGATAGTGTGGATTTTTATCATATTAATCATTTATATATCTATTATGTTTTATAGGTTATTCCGAGACACCATTAATTATATTCTTTCATTTGCAGAGTAGTTTACTTAAGTTTACTTTTATTCTATTGATTGCCTATTGATTATTCATTGATCCATAAAATCTAACTGTTTACCTTGTAGCATTTACCTATTATTGATTTTACTATCAGTACTCACTGTTCACTAGAGTGTATAGGTTTTCTTGTATTCTGATTGGTTTATAAAGCCTTGCCCCCAGTTTGGTGGTAGTTTTGAAAACAGTAATGGAGGATTGATGTCTTTGTTGTGATCTTGATATATTTGTATGTTTTGATGCACTTTGTGCTCATAGACTTTATATTGTGTTTGATTAGTAGTTCCATAAGTTCTATGGATTAGTATAGTGATGGAATTCATCCTTGAACAGGACATCATGACTTTATATGGTAAGTTACATTTTGTACTCTTTGAGGTGTCTTGGATGAACTGAATCCTCAATTTTGAAATGTATGTGTATTACATTCATTTGGTAAGATTCCCAGCCCAATGAATGAGTGTGCTTTGAGTGATGATTGAATCTGATTTATTTGAGAGATTTTAGTATAAATGTTGGAAAGGGAGATTTAGTCGATTTTTATGAATGACCTTGACCTTTTGTCATGCAGTCATGAAATGACAGTGATATATCCAATGTGATGTCATTAACAGTACAATTGTACTTGTACTTTATGTTTTAGTATTGAAATAAGATTAATTATTTATAATTGTAAATTCGAGATGAAAGATAAAGATTAGAAATAGTTTAGATATGAATTGTATAATGTCTTTAAGAATATTAAAGTCAGATTACTTATTATTGTCATATATTGTTTACAGAACCATATTTGATGTGAACCTCTGTAACCATTACTGTACACGTATGAAGATCGTTACTGTTAATATTATGTAGACTGTCGATGTTAGTTATCAAACTCAGTTCCACAGACTGGTGAGTTTATGTATACTTAAAATAGCATAATATATATATTGTTCATGTAAGACAGTGAAGAGCATTTGATATTATGTAGAGTTATCTACCGTTGATATATATGTTATGGTTATTTGTAGAATATGGATTTACATATATCTATTTAGTTAATTCAAATAGTGTTATATGATCTTGACATTATAATAGTATGTTTAATTGTCAAAGCTGATGATTTTATATGAACGATGAATGAATATTTGCAAGTGTTAAATATCATCATGTCACCTTGTGTATTGATATTATAGAAGAACTATAAACTTTCAATGTTCTTATATTTATGTTGATCTGCAGTAATGTTAAAATAATAGTAACACAGTACGATATAGTAATAATAGATTAATCTGTTTTAAATGTATTTTGTTATATTTTGTAGGGTTTATAATTATATGATTACATCATTGTTGAATAAAGAACCCTAGGAAAAGATGAAATGGACTTGTTGTTATTTGGTTGTTCAGAAATTCACCTTTTACATTGGCGCCCACGTTTTGAAGAACCTGGCATGTACAGCAAATATGAATGAAGTTATTGAAAAGATGATGAGCAGTACTAGATATTGACTATTTGTACTTGGTTCGATATGTGAAAAAAAAAATATATAAAGTTTTTACCTGTATTGATTAATCACATACGATTATAAAGACTAACTGTATTAGTGATTAGTAGTAATACATAGATAAAATAGATTGACATTGTATAGATATATAATTACCTACACTGTTTAAACTAAATTATTGTCAGTGTATTGTATTGTACTTGGAATACGTTGTGTATTTATTTGGAAAATAGTTTTGCAACTACAACCTTAATGGGTATTAACAGATACAGATAGAGACTGTTCAATGAACATATAGACTACATGTTTTAATTTCTGTGTGTATGATATATTGACAAGTTTCATTTGATTGTTTATTTTTTTTGTGAATCAATTTTCTGAAAAGTGTGGACACAGATTGGTGTATATTTTTGTATTATTTTTTTTTTATTCAAAAGAGGAAAAGTTTCTTTAATTTTTTTTCTTTAAATTTCATTTCCATTCA